GCCTTCCTCCTGCTCGATGCTCTGCTCGATGCCTGGAGGAACAGATGGCTGCTGAGCCATGATCTGCCCCCATTCACCACTGATCCCCAACCCACACTCAGGCTCTGGCTTAGGACTCCCCTGGGCGGACTTGTGTGGCCTGTAAATGGGATCACATGGGAACCAGAGGAAAAAGGAGGGCCAGGCATCGATGGAGGAGGAGCCAGCCAGGACCCTTCTAGGCAGGATGCATGTGTAGGTGTGTGTACATATGCATCACACTCCTCTGTGTGAGCTCCTACTATATGTAGGCCCGGTGCTCAGGCCCATGCTGTCTCTCTCCTGCTCAGGAAGGCTGTACACCCAACACGGGGCCATGTCTGGAGCGGAAAGGGTCAAGCGGTTGCCACCTGCAGGGGACACAGCCCCTCGGCCTGTGCATTCCAGGCATGCACATGTAGGCCCATACAGCCACATGGAGGCTCTGTGTGGGACTCGGCAGTGCTAGCTACTCCTCCAATCCTCTTTAGGTGAAGGGGGGGACAGTGCCCAGAGTGGAGCACTTCCTGGACGAAGCCAAGGGCCAGCCCAGGCCCTGGCACAAACAGGCCAACAAGATAGCTGTTGAGTGAATGGCACATGATGGTAGCCTCATAAAGAAAAGCAAGACCCAATGTACCCCCTCAAAGTTGATGAAACCCCATGGGCTGTGTGGAGGAAGCAGGCTTGGAATGCCCCCCACCTTAGACAAGGCTGGAGCCCAGACTCACTCTTCAACTTGGAGCGCACTTTGTTTGCTGTCTTCTTTATGTCAGACATGAGTTCCTCCAGCTCCTCCTTCGTCTCTGGGGAGGCAAAAGGTTGGGGGTAGACACCCTGGGTTCCCCCATGCCAATGTTCAGGCTCAGCCTCCTACACAAGGGGCCCACGGAGGGGGGCTCTGGACAGACCCTGGGTCCTGGGTCTTCCTTCTTCCTTGACTAAGGTTCTGTCTGCCCCTCCAATCTTGGGCCGGGGCCACACCAGCTGCAGCCTCACCCCCTCTCATGCTGCTTTCCAAGGAGCCTCCCTTCTTCTTTCACTGGCTCCCCCACCCCCTGCAGATAACAGATGGGTCTAAATTTAAGGCAGAAATAATTGTGGAGCAGCTGGTGATGCTGGAGCTGGCACTGGAGAGCATTTACTTGATACTTGCCTGAGTCGGGGTGCAGGGGGTGTGTGAACTCACCTAGCATTACCTGGTGGCTTGTGGGTAAGCATCCAGCCAGTGGGCTGACAGGGCCAGGGGCCAGGGAGGCAGAAGCCAGCCCCTACATCAAGCACCCTGAGCGGGGCAAACCTTGTTCTATTCACAAAGCCCCCCTCCCCAGGTGCTGAGCTGAGTGGAGGCCAACTGCTGAGTGCCCAGGGGGTGGACAGGGGCAGGAGGCACCTGGCCTGGGTGGGGTAGAGCTTCAAAGAGGCGGGCCCCCTGGAGGTAGCAGGCAGCGGGGCCTATGAGAGGGTGGAGCTGCGGTCGGTAGCTGGTGCTTCTGGCCCTTGTTCCAAATGGAATCATCCCCCTAACGCTGGCGGAAGCTACGAGGGTGCCCAACTTGCCGCATTCCCTGCGAGGTGTTGGTTGGCAAAAGGGAGACAAGGTGGCTGCTTCCCGCTGGGGTGCTGGGCGGAACAATGGGTCCTGACAGCACCCCAGCCTCAGGGCAGCCTCAAGCCCCAGAGAAATCATAACTGAGCTCCTGGCTGCGACCTTTCCCCTCTACCCTCTGCTGCCTCCAGGGCTGGGGCTTCTATAGGGGGTTGGGGAGGGGTGTTTACAGTGGAGGGGCAGCTGAGGCCACTCCCAAGGGGAATATGAGTGAGGTGGAGTGGGGGGCTTTAAGGAGCGGAGGAGGGAGTCTCTCCCTGAACAAAGGAAAACTTGGTTACCAGCTGCTCTAACGTCTCAGCCTTTTTAGCTCAGACCCAAAATAGCCCAGTCCAGATAGCAGCTCCCAGAGGAGGCAGAGCCAGCCTCAGCCCAGGAAAGCGCCCCCCACTCACCACTATCTTTTCTCGTGACTCCTTAACTCTCCTCGCCTTTGCCTTAGAACCCGCACTTTACTCAGCCCACATCAGCGACCACCTGACTGCTCAGCTCACAGGTGGCAATTCTGAACTGGTTGCTGCTGACCGACATGGGGAGAAATGCCGAAGAGCACCAGGGAGGCCGGGAAGGAGCTGGGCAGCTCATCACCCCACCTGGGCACCCCACCTTCCAGCAGGTGAGAGGCCAAGTCTCCAGCTATTTAGAGTTCCTGCCCCATAATCAGCCGCCTTCTCACCAGCAGTGACCCACCACTGACACACACTGACCCACATACACACGGGCACATAGACAAACCATGTCACATGCTGCTGTCCCAGACCAGCCTCTGGGAAGAGGGGGCTGCACTGGATGTATGCCCTGTTTTGGGTGGTTCCCCTTTCCTTTGTACCGCTTTCTGAGATAGTCACCCAGGCTTCCAGTTCACTTATTTTGCCTTCCAAGGGCCTGGCACTGTGCTTGGTTGGTGTGGCATTGGCCTTGGGTTCAAGCACACTTTGGGGCTATGAAGAGATTTTTTTTCTGGGTAACTGAGGGCGTCTGGGGGCCTGGGGGTGAGGGGCCATGAACAGGGAGGCAGCGCTGGAGATGAAACTGAAAGCAAGCCCAAGTGCCCTGGCCCCTGTCACTGCCCCTGGGGCTGAGGGAGCGCGCCCTTAGGGAAGGGGATCTCCAGCCTGCGTGTTGTCAGCCGGGCACATAATAGTGTAGTGATCAACACCTCAACAGGTACTGTGACAGCTGGGTCAGGGAGACCTGTCTGGGGACAGAGTAGAATGCAGACACACACAGGCTCCCTGTGCAGAGGGACAGAGGTGACTTCCTGGAGTCCTGAGAATGCCTGGCTCCAGGGTGCCAGTGGCCAGATGTCAAGGCTGCCAGCTCTTTCCGGAAGCTCTGCCTGCTTGGCCAGCTTGCCCTCCTACAGCGTTGCTGCTTCAGAGCTGCCATCTGCTCCCCAGGGAGGCAAGGAAAAGGGAGGGGCGAGGCTGAGAGGCCTCCTATTCATGAGAGTAAGCTCCCGCTCCTTGCCTTCCTCCCAGAATCCCAGGGCTGCAGCCAGCCCAGGGCCTTAGAAAAAAAGCCAGTTTACCGAGGGAGGGCAGGCTGGCTGCCTGACCCACCCAGGTCTCAGGGGGGGCCACCCCTCCCACCACACAAGTCTTTGTGGGAGACCTGGGTCCAGTGTGAGAAACTAGGCACTGACCCTCCCCTCTCTCTCCATCCTGGGCCTGGGGCAGCTGTGTTTCCTGAGGTTCTCACAGAGCCCCCCCAAACCTGGCCAGGCAGCAGCGCCTTCCTGGAGAGGCCCATGGGGCCTAAAACCCACCCCTCACACCAATGCACTCACTCTCATCAGGGTTGGGGGAGGCCAGGATGGCACTGTGCTTCCGCTTCACCTCCTCCACATTCTCGGAGATCTTGTCAATGAAGCCTCGGATCTCCTCTACCTGTGGACCAAAGCCAGGTGATCAGGAGAAAGTCCACAGACGGGCTTCTTGGGCCTATGGCTTGTCCAGAGTGGGGCCAGGAATCAGGCTTAGGGCCAGGCTTCCAGTGGAGGGGGGGCTGGCTGCTCCAAATTCCTTCTAGATTGGGGTGAGGAGGAGTGGTCCAATCCTAAACTTTGCTCCCCTCTGAGCTTCAGGCTATTCACTCTCAAAAGAGGTTCACTAATTGGTGCCAAGGGCTGCTGAGCCAGGATCAGCTGTGTAAGTGAAGGCCTGGCTCAGAGTTGAGACATGGTCACCCAAGGCCTGCCAGTGTATGGGGAGAGATTGGGTGTGCTGGCTCCCACCTGTTCGAAGAACTCATCCATGAAGCGGTCTCGGTCCACGGTGACAGTGACATCATCGTCGTCATCGCTGTCCTTGGCCTGCACGGGATTGGGGACACATGAGCATACCTGTAGTGGGACCACTGGACTTGGGACCCAGTGCCTGGCATCGTGTATAGCAGGCTTGCAGGTTGTAGCTCCAGGGCCCAACCATGCCCCTCTGCCCTCTTGGCAAGGATAAGCCCTGGGTGTGCCCTGTGCCCCAGCCCGGCGATACCTGAAAGATCCCTGGTGACCCAGCATAAGGAGAGGGGCCTTGCCTGTCAAGTTGGAAACGGCCAAGTCTCCATCTCCAGGCCAGGGACTCCTCTTGCCCAGCTGCCTGCCCCTTCCCCACACGACTGGGGTCCTCCCAGAACCTCCCTCCCTCTAGGGTGCTGCTCAGGAGGCCCTGCCATTGGCTGGGCAAGAAAACCTCAGGGATTGGTCCCCAGGCCACGGGGCCCCAACTGGCCCCAAGTGGGGCTTGGCTAGGAGATCTATGGAGACAGCTTGGAGGGACCCTTCTCATCAAGAGATCACACCTCCTCCCCCAGCAGCTAAAATTAATCCTGGCCTGAGATAGACCACCTGGAAGCCAGCGTTGTCTACTCTTCTGGCTAGGAGTTTCCAAGCTCTCTTTCCCCCGAGGGCCCTGGAAGGGGAGGCCTGGGCTGTTCCAGGCTTGGGCATGTCAATACCTCCCTCCCAAAGGCTGGATGGTTCAGACACGAGGCCATCCCCACAGCACCCCAGACGTGCCTGAGAGAGACGCCTCTGTACGGGGCTCTGCCATGCTGCTTTACCCACTCAGTCCTCTCAGCATCCTCTCTCTCCTGGTCAGTCTTGACCTGGGACCTTGACCAGAGCTGGGTCCATCAGGTACAAGAGGCCAGTCATGGCCCTGACTGGTTTGGCTCAGTGGATAGAGTGTCAGCCTGCGGACTGAAGGGTCCCAGGTTCAATTCCGGTCAAGGGCGTGTGCCTTGCTTTCGGGCACATCCCCAGTGGGGGGTGTGCAGGAGGCAGCTGATTGATGTGTCTCTCTCACATCAATGGTTCTAACTCTCTATCCCTCCCCCTTCCTCTCTGTAAAAAATCAATAAAATATATTTTTAAAAAAACAAACAAAAAACACAAGAGGCCAGTCATGTAACTTGGCTGGGGCTTGCCTTAGGAGCAGCTGTACAAAAGCCAGCCTCATCCTGGGGTGGGGGTAATTATACCTCTGACTTCCCAGCATGCTGGCCATGCCCATTACTGTCCAACCCATACCTTGACTTGGCCATGGTCAGCCCACTCTCCACCGCCAAGGCCAGGATACCCAGGGCAGGACTGTCACCCATCGGACTGGGGTTCTCAGGCTCTATCACATCTCTTAAGCGCCCCAAGGGGAGGAGGCACTAGCTGGCTAGGCACTGGCCCTCACCTCCACGCTCTTACATCAGGGCTCAGGATAGAGGCAGGCAGAAGTCAAGGGATAGGGAAACTGAGGGACTTATCCTGTGGGTCTATCTCTTCTCTACAAAATGGGGACAGAGACACCTGCCTACAGGGAAGGAGGGCTGAGGAAGGATGGGGAAGCGCAGCATGTTGTAAAGGGCTGTGCCCCTGGAGCTCTCGGGGTCCCACTACCCCAACAACGTGGGGCTTGGCTAGGAGATTTATGGAGACAGCTTGGAGGGGCCCTCTCATCAAGAGATCACACCTCCTCCCCCAGCAGCTAAAATAAATCCTGGCTCACACAAGTGCCTGCAGCTGCTACCAGGTGGCCCCCCTCCCCCTACGGAGCCCATCC